ATGAGGGGAATCATGCATAAAGATGGCGGCTGAGAGGGGGCGCTTGTGGCACTTTGAGGGCTGTCCCGACATCATATCTCAACATAAATCAACGTGGACACTTTTATTTTGTTGGCTGAAAGGTTAGGAAAGGAAACATACCAAAGACTAACCTTAAATCTTTGTGGAAGCTAGGGTAATTAGCAATATGTTTAGCATTAGCTATAAGGATCGAACTTTTCTGACGATTTTCTCATTATGGAACTCTTTTTACAAATATGCTGGATTACCTTTTATCCGTAGACCCTTATGGACAAATGGAATGTAAACAATCTAAGATTGGATTTGTAATACGGCCTCAGAATCGCTTCAAAAGTAGGAAGTCAAAGCTTTATTTAAAAAATATAATAAAAAAAGCTACTATATCTTTATTAATTGAGTTTTGTCACTCATGGTGTCCATAAAATCAACGTTGCAGTTGAATTGTGGAGAGTTTAAGATTTTTAAAGATGTATAATATCTCTATATACTGTAGGTACTGTAGGTCGCTGGAGAACAGGTGGATGTTAAGGAATTGGGATCTTCATGTCTCGGATTACTAAAGTCTTGTTCGAGCCTAAAGGTCTTTGTGTTGTCAATTATTAATTACACAAAAAGAATTGTGTGAAGTCAAAGTCAGACTGACATACTTGAGACATCCAGGAGGGGGGCGCTGCATTTAAAGGACACTTCTGTCTTTGAAGATTTGTTTGTTTGTGTCAAATGTTCTTGATGTGATGCAACATACCTTAACTCTATACATCTATATTAAGTAGTATGATGATTTGTTTCATTATCAATGTTGGATATTAGGGTGACCAAACGTCCGTATTTCCCGGGACATATCCGTATTTCACGTCCTGTCCCGGGCGTCCCGGGTTTTTTTTAGAAAGTGAGGAAATGTCCTGATTTCACTGCGCACGACGCTCCGTGTGACGTAATCCCTGAGCCGCGTCAGTGCAGGCAGCCCTGTTCTTAATCAGAGGCTCTGTTTGAAAACCTGGGCTGCATCCTCCAAGGACGCGGTCTACCTAGACTGGATCCTTCGAAGTCCTTGAAAATAAGGAGGCCGGAAGAGTTCTGTCTGTAAATTCGAACAGGTCCACCCTTCGGCAGGTTTTACCGGCGTATGCTCTGTTGCTTAGCAACCGTGAAAGTTGACACACAAAGCAGGAAAAGAATGAATACCGAGGTTTTCAAAACGGTTTGTTTATTTATTTATTTTTAAAAAAGTTAAAGCGAACAAAGCCTACACTCACAAGAATCCAGAGTGGAAGGTTTCCAACCATTGGGAGCAGGAACAAATAAAATCAAATGTAATGATAGAAACCTTAGTCAGTTAAATAACCTGCTGCTGTCATTCTGCACATCTCTGATGTTGCTGCTATTTTCAAATATCCATTACTGTAAAAATGTCCATAGCTGCATATTGGTTATTTATTCCCCAGTTTTATATTGTTAAAACACTTTACAGTATTTTATTGTTTATATTTTAACTCTTCCCTATTATGTTATTCTTATACATTTTTCTAAGGTCCTCAGTTGTGTGACCATTTTCAATAATCTTTCTGCTGCTGTAAATTTGCCCATTGTGGGACAATAAAGGGATTTTCTATTCTATAAAAGGGTTAGAAATATATAAGTAAATCTAAACAATGTATGTATAAAAATATATCTGCAAAATCTCTAATATTGAACAACAAAAAATACTTAGTTAAGCATATTGTGCAAAACAACAATAAAAAAATTAAACTCCTATCAGATTTATAGTTCCCACTCTGCAGATCTATTAGAATCTGTCCTTAAATTCAGGCCAAACTCATTTACACAATAACAGATAAAAACCTTTAGATAAATCAAACACTACCGCCACATATCTGACTCAATAACCATTAAAACAACTATTTTCATTCATTTCAGACGGAACTATTCACAGAGTTGTATTATATTAAACTGAACTTCCAATTTTCACCACTGTTCGGCGCCAAGTAACATTTCCTCTGATCACGGAGCAAATCCCAAATCCCCCCCCCCGGGCTCAAAGGTGTCCTGGTTTTCCCAAATGATAATATGGTCACCCTATTGGATATGCTTTATAGTACATGAGTGAAATGCTTAGCCACCACCTGGCTTTGTTTTACTTTGTACCTCCTTTCTCCAGCCTGCATTTCTTTGAAGCAGAAAAGCCATTATTAAATGTCATTTTGTTGCCTCCGTGAGGGTCAGAGTGGCGCAGGACTCATAAGAGCGGCCTGAACTCGAAGTCCTGATGTGCACCCCACCACAAAGCGGTTAGGAGGAAGGCAGAATTAAACTAGCTCTGGTTCCAGCCTCGCTGACATTTACCACTGACATTTTTAATATCTGAGACTTCTGCAACAGTTGAGCTGAAATTGCAAAGTACAATCTGCAAAATCATTTAACAAGTTCACTTTTTTGTTCTTAACACAAAAAAACTATATTGTGTTTTTTTAAGGTCCTGCCATTTGTTGTTATGTCATGTTTCAGCAACACCAACATGCATGTGGCCTGCATTTGTCCATTGATATGCAGGTTGCTGTGATGTTCATGTTTGGCCAGGTGCCTTGCTGTTAGACTGAGCTGCATATCAAACAGGCCGTGCTTTAGGGGCCGAGTTTGTCTCTAGACACAGACACTGTCAGTTGGCAGAGGAGTGGAGGGTGGGGCGGCGAAAGGGGAGTAAGAGAGTAATTTCCTGACTCAGAACCTCTCCCCGGGTAGATTTCCTCCTCTCCCTTTTCTCTTTCCCCTCCGCTCCCTCATCCTCCGTATTCTCATTCAACGCACACCCTCCCAATCGCATTGACCTCGACTTGTGAGGCAAACAAGCAAAGTCTGCATCTGCTGCACAAAGAGACCGGGCCCGAGCCTTTAAACGGCGTTTCACCTCGTTAGTTGACAGCTTTGTGACGATAAAATGAAAGATAAGCCATTCCAAACAGGATCAAGCTGGTGTTTGGTGCAGGAGAAGCAAGGGATTCACTGCCGAGGCTTTGACCCACGAAGCCTGTTTAGAGGTTTGGGGTGGGAGCAACAGGAGGGCATTACAAAGAGTGAGCTGTGCATTGATTTACTGCGAAAACAGTGGATGGAAAGTGTGCACAGGGATACATAGACCCAAATATGCAAATGTACACAAGGATAGGAATACAGATGGATGCAAACAGTAACTGTGCAAGCTGTTAGTGGAGCAGACAGACACGAAGCAGAGTAAAATTGTTTCAGATGGTTTGGAGCTTAAGTTTGAGTCATTTAATGTTTGCATTTTAAAACAAACACGTTGCTCCTATTTTTAAAGGTTCTATTGATTATATAAAGATAAAATATATTGAATCTAGGGCTGCAACTAATGATTATTTTGCTTATCAATTAATCTGTTGATTAATTTTTCTATTAATCAATTAATAATCGGATAGCAAAAGGTTCCTTTAAGAAGACTTTTTACGAAATTAAACCGCTTGTGATCCTGTTTTTGCGTCAGATTTACGGCTGTACAAGAAACGGCAAATTTAAAGGTTCCCGCTCCAGACTTTTGAAAATATTTAAAAAAAAAATGCAAAAATGCTAATAATTTCTTATTTTTTTAAGACGTAAAGAAAGCTATATTTAATTAAAATTAACCAGTTCAAGTCTAAAGTCACTAAGTTCTAAGTAACTGATCATAGTATCTAAAATATTATTAGAAGTTATGTGATAAGATACAGCAAAATGTATGTACAAATTCTGGTATTTGAAAGACTATAATAAAAATAATTAAAACAAACAAAAAAAACTATAATAATTCAGGCAGAAGAAAATACTTTAAAAACTAGTATTTTGACATACGACCTAAGAATCCAGTCCTCACAGTAGTTAACATAGACACATGAAAGAGAATAAATGACCTCAAGTGGCAATATCTACTCTCTTACTGTATATAAAGTAATAAGAAAAACTTCAGTACATTCATGCACTTATTATAGCGCTTTGAGTGTAAGCAAACAGGTGAGAGAGGGTGGACAGAAGTTCCTTTGCTCTACATGCAAAAGTAAAACAATCCGAAACTGTTTGATTAAACATGGTTTGCTTCTAGATGGCATAATCAGCAAACAACTCAACATCTATTATTTTGGTTGTGTTGTATGTTCTGGTGGGTTAGTACTGTAACACTAAAGTTCGCCTTACACTTAAGCTTATAAGACTACAGTAAAGAGCTAAATATGAAAGAATTATTAGTTTCTTTTGTTTTAATCTTTCACTGAATGAAAAAAATAGCTTCAATGTAAACTGCCCAATTACAGTCATAGTCTATTTTTATTCTCTAAATAGACTATATTTAAGTTTGTTTTACCTTTCACACTGGTTGGCCCACTTACAGGAATTACCCTTTTTTGTCTCAAACGTTTCAGAGTGAAACACTGAAGACACTGATGTTTTTTCGAGGTGCTTTGGTCAGCTTTAAACCCACCGCCGCCGTTATTAAGGTTTCTATTACATTGCTGGTGAGGCTGCCAGCAGAGCTGCTAAAGAGCTGTTTCATGTGGGTCATGGAGGTTATCTGATGGAAAGTGTCTGCAGGTTGGAGCAGTATGTTTCCAGCCAGGATGCTCTCGGGGTGTTTTTGTCTCATTACGAGGGACTGTCGATTGCCGGACTGATAGCCCTGTCTCTTGTAATTGACCCGTCGCTTCAAATTGTTGCCATCTGTCTTCATACCGATGTAATGACCTTGTAATATATCGACAGTTTATTGGATTAACTTCAGCATGCTGTGACACAGGAATATGGCCTTCGAGGATAAGGTGGAGTGAATAGAGTGGGGTCATTCCCTGATACGAAATTGGACTCAATAACAATTTTGGAGATTAAAGGTTTTCTAACTATTGCTGTTTTGGCGTTTTATTCTCAGTTTTGTTGATTAATGCTGGTGGATGGTAAAAATCTTGATAAACTTTATTGAATCCTCTGTATTTGTTTTCCAGAGTCGAGATGGGCGGTTTGAAGTCCGTGGTCGTCATGGGAAATCTGTGCTGACAATCAGCGGCGTAAAGCTCAGTGATCTTGGACGATTCGACTGCGAGGCACAAAGCAGGATAGGAGGCCATCAGAAGAGCATGTTTCTCGACATTGAGTGTAAGTGTGTTTACTTTTAATCATGAACTTGACTTGTAAAGGTACATTCACACCCAATATGAATTCTTCAGCTGGAGCAAAAGATATCCATGTTATGTTATGTAGAGGGCAGCTGTGGAGAGCTGCAAAGTGGATCAAGGTGAGTTGGCTGATTGGCAAGATTTTAGCAAATTCTGCAAAATTAGATTGCCGTGCATGAGAAGGGCACAAATCAAAATTTGCGAAAGCTGAAAAATCACAACTTTGGCTTATATTCATGTGGCATAATCCGATTAGACCTATATGTGGCTTTGACCTACAGTAAAGGAGGTAGCAGAGAAAAGCTTGAAAGAAAATAATGTTGAGTAAGTGGGGATTGATTTCTCTTTAGACGCTTGTTGGTGGCTTTGAATAAAGATGTTTTAATTTAGCCCTAGAAGAACTGTTCCATCGTCCTACTTCCTGTCTCTCCTTCACTCGCCTACCACCTTCTTCCTTCGAATCTCCGTAGTTAGCCTCTTTACGCTCTGGTGCTGTTTCTCTGCTGGGCTTCTCCAATCTATGGCTGTGCTCCTCCTGAGCTATGAACAGCTAGCCATCGCCTCTTCTTTGCTGTCTCAGAGATTGACACGGCTGGCCCCCTCATCATAATTGTGCTGCTCTCTCTGCCACTGTTCTTGCACTCCAGAATGCCGCCTTACCTTGACTCTGTCCTCTGGGTGATTTGTCCCCCCAACCTGGGATAGCAAGTCCTTGAACTTGGTGACAATTAGGTGGAAGTACCGCTTAGAGCGACTACTGTATCATCTATATATAGCTTTCAGCTGTGGCGGTGGTATTTTACATACTGCTTCTATCTCAGGGAATGTGGTGAACCCAAAAACGGCGACAGAAAACCACAAAAAAAGCAATGTAAGAGGCTCCATAAATTCATGGAGGCAAAACCAACAACCACTAGACTGGATGATGTAGGAACTTTTTGTCCAGTGTGTGAATTGCTTTCGATGGCCATGCACATTTTTAAGGTAAGCAAAAGCAAAATTGTCGCAGGTTTTGCTTTTGCTGTGAACATACCTGATTCCTGTCACAGATAGCCGTGCTGCAGTGTTAAGGCTAGCCTTTACCTAAGCAGGAAAAGGAAGTGGCAATTTGGTTGAAGTCGCTGTACTTTTTTGTAACTGTTCTTTCTTCCTTTTGATCAAATATTTTTATATGACATCAATCAGGTAGTTTTTTTGTTGTATATGTCTACTAACAAAAGAGTGTTTTTAACTTTTTGAGATGTGCCTATATATTTCCATATTTGGTTTAAATCCTCTTTTGTTTATTTTTCTGGTCACCTTTTTGTATTTCTGCTGCATCTTAAAGACTACTCTTTTTGTCTAATGTTAAACAGTTTCATTGTGTTTGTATGTAGAGAATCCCTAATTATGAACAGAATTTAAGAGGTTAGGTGTCTTAGGATAATTAATACCCATCAAGGATAGTTTTTTCTTTCTTTTCTTTCTTTTTTCATGTACGTTAAATATATAACTTCTCATTCTTAGTATTGTTTCTTCTTTACTGTCAAATCTGAGGTATTAAATGTCAACTCCTTTTATTCTAGTGTTGTTAAATGAATTCAGTATTTCTGTGATCTTCATCTAATGAGGTGTTTTATGTGCCTGTTGTTTGATGGTTCTTTATGGACATTTTCTGTATCCATGGCAATGTTGTCTCTTTATGGTTATTTAGTGTCATGAAGTCTTATTATATTGGCTCTTTAATGGTCAGTTTTTATCCCTGGCCACTTTATTATTAGAGGATGTTTTTCTTTGCTAGCAGTATTAATGAAACAAGCCTTGCAGGTGTTATGGATCTCATTTCGATGTATTTTATTGCTGAGCTGAGCTTTTGTATTTTTGTTGTTAATTTGTGTTATATTGCTCGTATTCAAATATATCTTTGCCTTAAACAGTCTGTGTCCAGGAGCTTTGTAAATGTTTATCCCATTATGCTTGAATTAATAGCACATTCTGTCATCTCCCAGCTATTTTATTTCGGTTTTATGTGATGGCTTAACACATTAGTGTCTAATTTTCAGTGAAAATGTAGAAAATAAATGTTTTTTTAAATGTTTTTAGGGTTTTATTTTTCTGGCAAAATTAGAAAATCGTTGCACGATTTGGTTCTCAGCACTTCAGAAAAACCATTATCTATATCTTACTGAAAATATGTCAGATTAGGTGAATCTGAACAGATACTTTCAAGCGTTTTCATAGATTATAATCTGCGTTTACTTCTTGGCTTTGACTAGGTAATTCTAAGGTATTAAAAGGATCATTTCATAGTAACTCTGCCTGTATAATAAGGTTTGATAATGTTTAATATGATTGTTGTCCTAATTTCCATTGCCATTTTCCTTGTTCTTTCTGTATCAGTAGGTAATTATTTGTGCTGGGTTAATTTAGGGATATCAAAGTTAATACAAAAGCAATCCATACTCTTCTTTTTTTAAATTTGTCAGTGTTTTTCCAAACCTTGTATCATATCATCTTACGTTCCATGATATCCTGCTTCCAACAACAAAAACATTGACCTTTTTACTTCTTAATCTGACAGAATGTGGAGAATTGACTCATGTTAATGTTGCAAATACTTATAGGCGCCACCGGGCGGATCTTGCTAGATTATCCAGAGTTCAGACATTCTGAATAAACCAGGCAGTTTGACTCATTAAAGTACAACAAATTGTCACAAACAACACATCCCCAGCACTCACTTAGACACATGCATTTTCTCTGAAGGCTTCTAATTAATGAACAGATATCATACATTTGCAGTTTCTCCTTGTTGCAGCTTCCTTACTCCCTGACAAGTGCACCCTTCCCTCTGTGGCTCTTGTTGGGGGTTATCTGGGGCAGCCTCTCCCCTGCCTAATGAGCTCTGAAGCAAAGATCTTCATCTTGGCTCTGGAATGATTGTGTTCATTATGAGAGAGAGGCTCTGATGCTTTAACTATACCAGAAAAACATAGTGCAGAGTTTTACTGAAGCGACTGAAGGACGCAAAACAGCAAGAAGAAGAATCTAAAAACTTTTTTCATAGTTTTGGCAAACAGAGCAAGTTTGAATGGGAGAGCTGCTACTGTCAACGTGCCTGCTCTGGGTCTCTGTGTCCCGGCTTGGCCGAGACTCCGAAAGCAACGCTGCGGCCGTTGAACTAATGAACTCATTTACTAAGTCACTGCGTGCTGCTGGGGGATAGCAGGTCCTCAGCTGTGACAGGGAGCCAGGCATCAATCTATTTAATGGAATCCTGCAAGGGAACGTAAAGCAGACATAATGCCTTTCTGAGTGAGCTGGGCCGACTGCGCCAGGAAACGTCCAAAAAACAACCTGCAGCCGCTGCAGTCTTTCACTGTCGTTTTGTATCCTTCATTTAGCTGCATAAGACAACCTCAGACTAGAAACATAAATTCAGCACCTTTTATTCTCCATCTGCAGAATGTGTGGGTTAGGACTGAGCACATCTTTGATCATCCACCTCAGCTTCACCTTTGATTTGAGGGTTTAATTAGCTGCCACCACTGTTCAAAACACCAGCGGTCGTATTGGAGCTCTCCATTACCTGTTAAACTAAGTCTAAGAGATTTTTTTTGGCATCTTCTCCACAGATATCCCCAAATTCCTGACCAACCACACTATTTATTACTCATGGGAAGGGAACCCGGTGAACATAAGCTGCGAAGTGATGTCCAACCCACCCGCCACCTTGCTTTGGAGGAGGGAGCGTTTCACCATATCAGAGGAAACGCCTCACATGCATATCTACGGCACAGAGGGCAGGAAGTCTGTGCTGGAGGTAGGTCCAGAGTCTTTGATGTGATGTTTATCTGTTTCCATTCTGATGGTGAATTTTAAAAATAAGTAAAAGTAAAGAGATTTGTTCTTTTATTTCCATTAGTTAAGGTAAAAGAAGTTAAATATATCTCAACTTATGGGGGAATTACCAGAATATTTTGAAGAGGTGAGCTCAGTGTTTACCCATGCTTCTTTACTCTTAGATCTGTAAAATCCCTTTAATAGAACCTCTCTGACAGCATGAAGTAGGATAAAATAAGCTGATAAATCATGGAACAAGGAACATTTATAGGAGAGACCTACCTACTAAAATGTATCCATGAGTGGGTTGATGATTCATCCAGGAGGTCACAAAGAACCTAGAACAACATCTAGAACTGTGCAGGCTACCTCGGCTAAGGTCAACGTTCATGATTCAACTTTAAGAAAGAGAGGCTGGGGTAGAAAATGGGTTTACCGGAAGAATTTTTAAGCCAGAACCACTGTTGATCAGAAAGAGGATAAATATCTGTCCTGAAACCCTAAACAGGGCGTTCACGCTTTAAAATCCTCCTATTCGACTGGATTAATATTTCTGTAGAGCAGAGTGGGTCAGAATTCCTCCGCAGTGATGGTTTAGTGAGTATATTCTAAACAGCATGGACTTTGTTTGCCTTTTCTGTGGACATTTAGGATCTAAACGACTAATATTGTAATTTTATAGATCTCTACACCTAGGTGTCAGATATAGAGCAATAGGATTTTTGTTTTTTTTGTTTTGGCTAAGCAGAATTTTCAGTCTGAGTCTTTTTTTTTTTTTATATGATATGATGTAGATGTATGTGCTTAGTGAAGTTGGGAGCTTTCATTTATGAAAAAAATGTGGTTTGGATAGTTTTTTACCTTTCATAATAAGAGCATGATTTTGAAACTGCATTCTGTATTTACTCTTTTTATCTTTCACATATTCTTTTCAAAAATATTAAATGTGACCAAAAAAGCTAAATGACAAGAAACAGGTCAGGGTGTGATGCATTTCTGCTTTTTCCTCGTTTTTATCTCTTTTTTTTTTTTGGCTTTTAGTGTGCCTCTAGGTAGAGGAAGATTCTGGTTGGAAATGGCTCCTTCTCCTCACAGTATTACTCATCTATAGGGAAGACAGCTTTATTATTAGATCTGTTATTTACTGAATAAATACTCCCAGCACAAATGGTTCACGGTGATGTGTTTTACACAGTGGCTCTAAAAGGTCTTTAACTCAAGTTCAAAGTTGTTTAATTTTCTTTTTTTTTTCCGGCTCTAATGGCCTCCACAATGCATGACATGGTGTTATAAAGACGGAGAGTACATATCTTTCTATCTAGTCCCTTGATTTGCTGCAATCCTACAGCTATTTTTTTATATCCAAAAAAACACCCTAGAGGAAGTTATTTTACTACAGGTTTAGTTGTTTTGGGGTTTTTTTTGTAAAATCATAACCCTAAATACTATCTGGCACAGTTTCTGCAGCAATTCCCTCCTCCATCCCAGTTTTTTTTCTCTTCCAGTGAGTGTTTACACCATGTTCTAGCCTGTTTTTCTTCTTAGAGTTGTTTAAATTGAGTCATAGTGAAGGGTTCCTGAGATTAATCAGCTCTCTGGTAGCACTTACATTTTGATTTTAAGACTAGACTTTAACTAGGCCCCTTGAAAGAGATTATTTTTTGTCATTAGTACCTGGAATTGCTGCATAACTCATTGCTTGAACACCAGATTCTCTCTATGCACTGTAGTCCTGGTACTGACTGCTGCCATCTATTATAAACAAAGTTTCCTAACCAAATACAAACACTGCTTGAAATTTCCACCAAATGATTTTATGTGCGACGTTGCTCATTTTCATGTGAAACTGGTACAGAAACCTAGTTCTGTTACAGCGTAGTTACACTGCAAAAAAAATATGAAATTAAGTAAAAATTTCTTAAATCAAGTGTATTTACCCTTAATTTAAGCAGGTAAATAAGATAGTTTGCCAATGGGATGAGTATTTTTACACTTAGATAATGTGCACTTGAAATAAGGCAATGCAATTGATTTTTCTTATTTCAAATGTAAATTGTCTTGTTCCATTGGCAAAATGTCTCATTTATCTCCTCAAATCAGGATAAGATGCACTTATTTTAAGAAAAAATGACTTATTTAGATTTACATTTTTTGCAGTGTAATGTTTTATGATCAGATTTGATTTAACTGATGCAGTTTATTTTCATTGATCATTTTTCCTATAACCTCTACACTGATTCAGGTGACTCCAATGTCTGACAGAGACTTTGGCCGGTACAACTGCACCGCCCGAAACAACATTGGAGTTCGGTACCAGGAGTTCATTCTGGCCCAGGCAGGTGAGTGTGCTGCGCGCTGCAAGAGTGGAAAAGGCTGGAATTAGATTCCTGTTTTTTCCATTTTAGAAAATAAGAGCATGAAAATTTGAATTCCGTAATCCAAATTTTCTCTTTGTTTTCCTGTCCCTCCATGTTTCTTTTTCCCCATGCTGTTTTTCTTTTTGTCCTTCCTTCTTTCCTTGTGTCCTGTCCGCCTTTATCCAGCCTCTCCTTCCTTTTGTTCTTCTTCAGTTCCTCCTTTCGACTTTTTTCTTCTGCATTTTCTTCTGCCCAAAGATCGATAGAAAAACTTTCTTTAATTTCTTCTCTGTTTTATGAGTTTCTTCATCCCTCCTGTCCAAAGCATTCCCCCTATTTCTCCTTTTACTCGTATTTCTTTTCTCCTTTCTTTCTTATTGTGCTATATTTACTTCCTTCCTCTATAATACTCATTATTCCTCCCTGTTTCCTTGTGTCACCTTCTTTACATTTTCCTTCCTTCCTTCCTTCCTTCCTTCCTTCCTTCCTTCCTTCCTTCCTTCCTTCCTTCCTTCCTTCCTTCCTCCACTGCGTTTATTGAACTGCTCCCTCTTTTCCCACTGAACAAATTCTCAAAAGTGAATTCCAATTATCTTTAGTGCAGATTGAATTGCTTGAGCTGAGAATGAAAGTTTTAACAAGAAGTTAAGCTAATACATAAAAACAACCTGTTTGTAGAGCCATTTCTCCATGAGATAAAAACCTACCAGCAGAGAGAGAGACAGTGATGCTGCAGAGTGGAGTATGGGGAGGACCGCAGAGAAAGCTTTCGCTACAAGGGCAATGCTTTTATGATTTACCAACCTATTAGAAATACTCTGAAACAAACCTTGGAGCTCTCTGTGTATATAGCTCTACATCACAAACCATGGCTTAGCAGGAAGAGCGTAACACATGTAGAAAGGCTCTGCTTACATGAACTTGGTGTAAACAGAACTGAGACACTTTTATCTCTTTTGCTGCAACAACTCTGTTACCGAGCGGAGGAGAACAACTGATGGTTTGGGAAGTAAAAACTAATTTTTATATTTAAAGGACTGAATAATAGAACATCTGGTTTTACAGTTAGTTGAATATTCTGAACATTTTTAAGTCACCTATGTAAAGAAGTGTTGCCAAAAGCAAATATTTTTCACAGCAGACAAATCTAAAACCTTACATATTTTTTTCCTGAGTTCTTTGCCTTCTTCCTTGAGTCTTTATCCCCTCCTTGTCTTTCTTTTTGTCCTTTCTTTTTATCCTTTTTTCCTTCTCTTGTTAATTGTACTTCTTTGCCCTCATTTCTTCTTCATTTTGTGTCTTTACATTCTATCCTTTGTACCCTGTAATTTCTTCCCTCCTTTCCCGTGCCCGTCTCCTTTCCTAGGTGTTGTCCTACCTCTCTCCATTTATTTTCCTGACTCCATTTCTTATTTATCTTTTATTTCTTCCTTGTTTCCTTCCTGTCATCTCACTTGTTTACTTCCCTTCCTTGCCTTTCTTTTTTCTGACCTTCCTTTCTTCTCTTTTGTCCTTTGTTCTTGTGTTCTACATCTTTATCCATCATTTTCGTTTGTCATTCCTTATGTCCTTCTGTTCCATCCTCCTTCCTTATCCTCTCTCCTATTGCACCCTACAGTATTTCTCCTTTACTGCATTTCTGGTAACCTTCCCTCCTTCTCTGCTGTCCTCATTCTTCCCTTCTGACTTCTCTTGTTTGTTTCCTCTTTACCTTCCTGCATTGTATATTTCCTTCCTTGTGGTATATCCTCTTGTATCCTTCCCTCCTTCTTTGTCTCCTTCCCCCACCTTCCTCCCTTCCTGTTTCTGTTTTTGTTTTTGTTTAACTTCCAGTTTATTATTTATTGATGTCCAATGATTGTAAAAGACTGAGAAGTGTAGTCCGGAGATTTTTTCATGTGTTTTGATGTCAAAGCTAAAACAATGTCCACCAGGCTCTACCAGCTGGTATTGATGGAAAATATATGAGGACTTCATTATCTCTGGTTTTAGATGTTCCCTCGAATCCATACTCCGTCCGTCTGTCGGCTGTGTCCCAACGCTTGGCGACCGTCACCTTCATGAAGCCGGACTCTCACGGTGGCGTTCCCATCAGCTACTACCTGGTCCAGTACAGAGAGCTGGGCTCCATGGACTGGAGGGATGTGAAGTCACACAGTGTGCAGAGTGAGTGATTTTATTTTTAACCTTTAAAGGAGCAGTAACATCATTCTGTTCATTGTGTAAATAACCAAATGGTTCATATTTCCTTGCATTACAATAGCTGCAGCACATTAAAGCAAGAAAGCACTGATTTTTTAGAGAAGAACTTTTTTTGTGTGTTTTTTTAGCTCATTTTAAAGATTTAGTTATTATGGTACTAATCATTTCCAGGTGAATTAGGAGAAACTCATTCAGCTCTATGTTGAGATTTTTCAGATTACAGTTTTTACTCTCACAGCTGCTTTTATTCTACATATTCATTTCACTCATTCTCTCTTTCCATCATGGGATAAAGTTGCCATAAAACCATTTATCATTATTGTGATGAATCTTAAAGATATAGTGGAGGATGTTCTTCTTCCGGGTGGATCATTTAAATAAGTGGTCCTCCTAATTTTCAGTCATTATGGTGATATGTTTATGTAAGGCCATTCTACGTGCTCATCCCCATTCTCACAGTCTGACATAGTGGAAAAATTGCAAAACTTCTTTTGGAAAGTAAGCTTGCATGAGCGATGCAAACAGCAACTTGTACTGTAAACAAAGCGTGCAAAAAGAGAAATGGACTCGTGCATTCTCTTGCACGCGTAATGGGAGTTTCCTTTCTGGAGCGGGTACAGGGTTTTGCATGTGCATTTTTTTTTTTTCTTAAGTGGAGAGGGTGGGTCTTTTCTAAAGTTTGCGAAAATCCTCAAATATACTGTGAAAAAAAAGAAAATTGGAATTTTTTATCTTTATTACATATATTTATTTATTTTAAATGATATTTATATAATTTTATTTTAATGTAATATGTTATATATAATATTATTGTTGAAGTGATGGCACTGTTTTTCATGATTTTTAGGGTTTTTAATTTCTATTTGATGTGTTTTCTAAGAAAGAAGGGAAAAAAACATAATTTCTGTTCAATAACAAAAGCCTTATTTCAAATCCACTGAACTATTTCTTCTTTTCAATTTTTTTTCATAAATTATACATTGTTATGCTGCTTGAACATGATGATATCCCTCTTTTAAGGATTTCTGCCAGACACCAGCTGGACTTTATATAAAATGTCCAAAGAAAACGCAGCTCCAACTTAAACAAATGTCCTCAGTTGGTAACAAGTAACTGAATGACGTCCACTTATTTAACTTGGGAACTTCTAAACTAGATACATTCAGTTAGATTAACTCGGTTAAATTACTTGGTACCAATTGAAGCAACTTGTTTAAGTTGGAGCTGCATTCTCGTGTAGAATTTAGAAATCTGTTTTTAACATTTATATAAAAAAATGTACATAGTAAGGCTGTGGTTTAAACCAAACTAAAGGACTAAAAGGCTTTTCTTTTTTTTTCTTTTTTTACATATCTGCCATTTTTGAGTTGCATGTTCTGTTTTCCACATGTTAAACGGTTTCTGAGCCAAAAGTCCTGCTGTGTTGAGTTATATGTATTTGCACCCCAGGGGAAAACAGAAGGTAAATTAGGTTCTAAAAAAGCTCATTAAGACTTTAATTTATAAGCTTTTAATGGTAGAAATGCAAAAAGTCTTCAATTAAATTACATTTTTTGTTAGAGAATCTCTTTGAAAGATGAGGTTTGTGAACAGAATCGATAGAAAAAGTCATTAATGTCATTAAAAGTTTACTTGTATGAAATTTGACCTGTGATCGGCCGGCTGAGATTGTATCATTCACCTATTTGTTGAAGGAATCTGTGAACCTTTACCAGTTTAACCCCTAATCTCCTCTGTTGACGCCACACATCAGCCGAGTGGAGACATAATTGCACAATCGGTCACAGGATCCTTCAAAGCCTTAGCCTTGGGTTGTTGTCGGGCCCCTGACGAAGCGCAAACACCTCACAGCAGAAAGCGCCAGGACCGGTCCGGTGCTGAAAAGGCTCCCTCCGTTTGCTCTTCCTATGCTTTACGACCCCAAATTGATTTCTGAGCCCTGTCGGGAAGTATGGCACGAGGGGAAAGATAGATGGATGAAAAAATGAAAGCCAGGGGATGAATGGTCCGGTGATAAGCAGGTCCAACAAACCTGAAGGACTTATCGCTAATATCCCCCATTTCGGAGTCAATTACGGTACGCAGATAGACTGAGGTGAATATTAACCAGGAATACTAACCAAGGGATGAGAATAATTGGTTTAAATATCATTGTTTCAACAAAATTTGATCTAAAATACAAAAGAACTGAGTCTAGTTAATTACATGATCCTAAGTGGCTTCATATTTATTCACAGACACCACTTCAGACATCCGCGCTGAAGTTCCACACACAGTAAACTGTGCAGCATAATGAGCTGCCTGGACTCGTCTCATTTCAGTACTCTTGCCCAGATTGAAGCGCCTGCTCACAGCCTGGGATGAAACCAACACACTACTGCAAATTGCAAAAAAAAATAAAAAATGTTTTCAACTCCAGGACCAAAGGACTGCAAAAGCACCTATTACCAGTCAAGTATTTAATTTGTTCAGACTGGCAAAAACAACAAGTTTCACTCAAGCTCAATACGCTGCTGGCTCTCTGCTGGCTTGTAGGAACAGCTGAGGTTATAGAGAGAGGATTTGAAATTTAAATAGGATTGTTATTCGATAAGAAATCTTGCCTTTGTTTAGAGCATTTTAAATGAGCATCTATTGTGGTATAACTGTCCATGTAGGCTGGTGTGTCTAAACCTTTTCGCCATGATGCCTAAAATTATCTTTACTATTATATTTTCTTTAAAATTAAGGAAGTACTTCCATTTTTGATCAAAGTTGTACATTTTTATTTTGTTTCCTACCTTATTTTTGTGTTTTTTGTACATTTTGTTTCATCTATATTAAATTCTTTTCCGCTCGCGCCTTCTAAGTTAAGCATCATTGTTTATTACTCCTCCCCCTTCAGCTCCCTGTCTTCATTATCCTCTGCTGTTCCTCTCTACCACCCTTTTATCTTAAATGTCTTTCTTCACCTGTTTTTCCATCTTTATCCATAATTTTCCGTCTGTTTGTGACTCCTTCCCTCTTTGCACCCTATGTCCTTTGCTGCCTTTCTTGTATCATTACGTCCTTTTCGTCTGCCCAACCTTCCTTGTTCACGCTGTTTCCCCGTGCTTCAGTTTCTCCTTTTCCTTTTGCCAAACCACCTGTAAGTTTAATTTATTGTTAGAAAATGTTGCTGGCAATTATTCGCTTTAACCTCCATTGCTGGCAGCAGATGTGGACACAGACATCCTTCCACAGCAGGAATATCATTTAAAACACAGAAATTGGACAAAAACAGCTTTAAATTCCCATTGTTCCACAGGGTTATGGTTTAAATGCCCAAGCAGTATAAAAAACATGCTGAATTTAAATAAAAGGAAGCTGTTCTACCAGTTATAAAAATGTCAAGTCCTTGAAATGGCATGCAAAGCACTTTAAATTCAGATGTTTATTCATTGATAGGATAACTGCTGTCCCACATCTTGCGGCTGCAGCATTTGCTCCAATCAGGCTGAGGACAGCTGGATGGTCAATCATTGTTATAGTTGTTATAACAGATACTTAGATAGAGAATAAATACTGTAAATTGAAAAAAAAAAATCACGGCTTAGAATGTCTTTAAGGTGAGAGAGTTGCTCTCTTTGTTGCCATGGAGATATTTGTGCCTCGTTTTAATTGCTGAAGACGTTTCCACTAAGACTAATGGTTATTAACTGTAAATTAAAAATCACATTTTCATCATATTAGAGTTTCCTGTAGTGGTCTGTGTTAAATTGGGAGACCTCTGATTGAGAAAACTTCCCTTTTGTGATGAAGCGGATCAGCATTGCCCAGATGGCCTTCTTTTGCCGCCTATTGAGCACTTTTCCACCTCACTAGATGACGGCAGAAGAGAAACACAAGGAAGAATAAGTGTAATCAAATATGTTAATAAATTGCATTACTGTAACGGAAGTCAAAAATTAGAAGTAGATCAGATCCCTGCCCCAGTTTCAGCAGCCATAGAGTAGAAGATGGACAGAGAAATCAAGAAGAAAAGGATGAAGAAGCACAAGAACTCCAGCAGGTCAGCATGCAGCATTACAAAGAAGGGAATTGTGATAAACAAACAGTAAAAATAGTAAGAATATTCAGCCAGAAATTCTGAAATGTAAAGTAAATATTCTGTTAGTTGGATAAGTGTTTTCAACTTAAAATCAGAAAAAGTCTGTTTTATTTTGAGTAAATTGAGATTTGTTGGCTAATTAAAAGTTTAACCTGACATTTTACCCATAATTTGAGGTAAAATCAATGACCCTGCTGAGACAAAATGAATCAAAAGTACGATAAATATTCTCAATTCCAGCAACACGTAGTTATAAAAATTTATTTATAACTGTGAATAGGCAGAGGCAGCAAATTGTTTCCCAACATGAGTGATAGATACTTGCGCCATCTTTAGTTTAGATATTTATCTTTCTTGCTATAGGCATGTTGCCTGCTACCATTCATTTTACCTGTATTTTATTCTATGGGTAATTGCCAGGTTTTTATTGATGCATTAATTGCACACTGAAATAATAAAAAAAAATGAAATCTATGTATGAGACACTATGCAAATAAAATAAAAAAATGTGCATGAAAAAATAACCGTAGTCCCTTATTTCAAGTGCATAATATCTAATGATGTTATTTTTTAATAATGATAATTATTTTGACAGATCCATTTATTTACCTTCTCGAATAAAAAGTAAATACACTTATTTTCAGAATGTTTCTTCTAATTTTAGATTGTTTTAGCATTGAAAAAATTTGATTTTCTTCAAGTAACTTTAATTGTTGAGTTATTTTTAAAAAAGCAATTACTGTTATTGAGTATGTTTGTAATAAATTTCTTATGGCGCTGGTTATTTTCATGATTGGATGGTTGCTTCTTACTCTTCTACTTAAAAAAAAAATAAACTAACTGGAAATAATCTCCATACAACTTGCATATAATATTAATTTAATAGAACATTCAGCATAAAGCCACCCCGAATAATCTAGTGCTAGCCCATTTTTAAATCCTAGCTCCACCGTTCTTTACATCCAGATGTTTAAAATGCTAACACTGCAAAAAATTAAAATCTAAAGAAGTCTATTTTTCTTCAAATAAGGGAATTTTTTCTTGAGTTTAGGAGGTAAATCATACACTTTACCAATGGAACAAGAAAATTTACATTTAAAGTAAGAAAAAAACTATTGCATTGTCTTATTTCAAGTGCATATTATCTAATTATCTCATTTTAAGAGTAAAAATACTCATTCCATTGGGAAAAAATAACTTATTTAGCTGCTGAAAATAAAAGTAAATGCAATTAAAGCTACAGCGTGTAATAATTACAGGGATATACAGTCAGAAATGTAATATATTATACATAACTATGTTATTTATCATCATCTATGAGCTCAGCCTCTTAACCTTAATATTTGCGTTGCCTTAGAATTCGTTATTTATAATTACATAGGAGCGGGTCTCGCAGCCATGGAGGCAGATATCTTTGCGCTACGGCAGCGCAGAGCCAACAAACTAGCGATTGCGAGATCGCCCATTACGCTCGAAAGTAACTACAGCAAGTTGAGAGAGATGAACTGAGACGGTACTGAACACACAGACTAATGAAATACTATCTGTAAAATTATCTATGTAAACAAACCTCATCACTTGAGAAGGTAGGTGATGCGGACGTCGTGGAAGACATTTTGTCCCGTAACATTCGCCGTACTGTTGGGGGGAGAAGCAGTGGGGGGGAGATGTTCATGTTGCTGCGGTCTGCAGTCTGACCGCTAGATGTCGCTGAAAATTACACACTGTAGCTTTAAATAAAGAAATCTTTACTTATTTCTAGATTGCTTTTTGCAGTGTATCTGGAAAAACTCACTCCATGAACCACTGTCTTGTAAATCCAGTTGATTGGTTATTCACTATGAGCCCTTGGTTCTGCTTGAACAGGTTCAACTATGGAAAATAAGGTTTGAGTTGAATCTCTGAGCTCTATGGTATGGTTCTATGTATTCATTTAAATTCGAAAAGCCTCATTTTTTGGGTCACATTTGTTTGTAAAATGGAGTTTAAGTGAATTTCTACATCAGAGATGATGTGTTAAAGTCGAACTCATCACATTCCTTTTTATTCATTAGGAGCTCCATCATATCTTCAGACGCTTTTCTGGAGCACCATCACCCTCCTCCTTTTACTGTTAATCCCCTGTATGGCTGCTACATAAAATGAAAATAAAGTGAGCTCTGCTTTTGTCCCTCTGCAGCCACCGTGGTGCTGACTGGCTTGGAGCCCAACACGACGTATGAAGTCCGAGTGGCGGCCGTGAATGGGAAGGGTCAGGGGGAGTTCAGCCACACAGAGACCTTCCAGACCCTACCCATCCGTAAGTCTGGCGCTGTTCGCTCATACCATCAAATCAGGACCCAATCCAGACCTCATGTATGTTTAAGCTATGAGACACCGTCATAATCGCTCCTATCTATCACTTTAATGCTTTTATAACCTTTCAGAGGGTGTTAATGTTGAGTTATTGGCACCTCTCAGCAGTTCACAGACGGTTTTCAGGAAGTTGTATTTTATAAGCTGTGACAGTGAGCAGCGCTAAAACAGCATAATTCAGCAGAAGTATGGAAATGTTTTGGTTCTGATTTAATACAAATATTGGATGTGTGACAGAAATGCATACAAATGCATTACATGCCTCCAGAATCTATTCAGAGCATCAGCAACTCTGCGGAATGAGGCCTATTTGCCATATTACACAACCGAGGCATATTTATATTGGAGAGGGCCACAATCTCCCTGAGTTTCAGTGATATGAATTTAGATTATCAGAACCTGGAATGGATTCTGTCAGAATCTTTTTCTCATGTGAATCTGCCGCTTTAATAACCATGTACCGCAGGGATTTCCTGATAAGCGTTTTTTTCATCCTGCAGTCTGGCCCTGCATGGCTGCAGAAACGGATACTGACGTCATACTTCTGCACCTGCTGAGGGTTAAATGCTTGAAAGAAGAGCTAATATAGGAGCAATGAGTTAAAAAAATGTACTGTTTTTATCATCAGGAGAACCGAGTCCACCTGCGGTCCACGGGCAGAGAGGTGTTGGGAAAGCCTACAGGCTGGGGCTGGTCAAGCAGGACGATGGGGGGATGCCCATTGTGGAATATATCGTCAAGTACAAAACAGTGGGTAGAAAACTCAACTTTGTTCCTTTGTTTGGTTTGGTAATTTAACAAATTAACCAGATTACAGCATCTAAATATCAAACTTAGACTCAGCTTTTTGATGCATGTTAGTTATTCTAATACTCTTTAGCAAATGATCCTCTGTTATACAGCTGTGCTTGAAAATTTACACCCCCTCCCATTAAGAAAATTATAAATTCACAACAGTTATTCAAATAAAATAGATATAAAAAAAAAATACTAAATTATAATTTAGTAAAATGAAATTGATTTAAAATTTTAATCTAGAAAAATATTTAAAAAAATAAAACAACCCATACAAATTAAAGTACATTGCTCATGAACAAAAGCCTGGCTAAACATTTCTTGAAAACACCTGATTTAGCGATTGCTTCAAAGTGTTACTACTTTTGTCAATTTGTTTTATTTTTTATTTTTTTAATGGCAGCTGATTTTTTTTCTGTCTTTAATGGATGGGTATGTAAACTTTCAAGTACAACTGTATAAACTATTTGTGATTTACTTTATTATTACTGTCTATGATAATTTTCTGATAAATTTTGTTGAATAATTTTGCTTTTTTTTGTTTATTTAGGCTTGGAGATGCTATTTATTTAAGTTCACTTTAGTATATTTTAAAAGGATTCGTATTAAATTAACATTATAACTATCAAGTATGCCAGAGGTGGCCAAAAAGCTTCTTCTTGCCCAGATGTGCGTAAAAAAGGCACCCTTAATATCTGAAAAGCTAATTAATACATGGCATGCAGCATCATTGTGCAGCAAAAGCAGCAATAATAATAATAAGACAAATAGACAATTACATGTTAATGGACAGCAGCAAATGTATGCATGCAAATGTATTAAACTCATTAAAAACATCAATAGCATTGGAGAGGACAAGTACAATCATTAGTAAGAGACAAAGAAAACTTTTGGAAAATAAGGGACAAAGGTTGAAAACAAACGTAAACAAACAAAATAAGCTGCAGCAGTACAGAAACTGCACAAAAACACATGTAAGACAAGACAAGATGGCAAGATGCATACGTAGTGATGAAAACTTTTACAGGTATATCTTTATATATAGATTATTGTTTGTTTTTAATCAGAAAATGCTCATATTCAGAAATATTTAGCTTATTTTCATGCATATGAATTATATATATATATATATATATATATTTTTTTTTTTTTTTTTTTTGTAATCAATCCTCCTTGCCTTCATTAAACATCAGAATACGCTGGTCTTTTAGAAAAGTAAATTCTGCCTAGTTGCGGTTATCACTATGTGGCTGGGTTTGCTTCTCTTTGTGGCCTAAATGGTTCGTTTTATGCTCCTCAGTTAAAAGGATTTTTAAAATGTCTCAAAAATGAGTTTTACTGAAGTCGTCAAATTGAAAGTGGTTCTAAAGATATAAAATACCTTTTTACGAGGACAAGTTTCTTTTGAAAGTCTTCCAAATGGACTCTCCTTTTGGGGGAAGGAGAATAGACTTTTAAAAACGAGTGAATTTCCAGACATTTTTTCCCTTCTTTTTTTCCTGAATACAAATATTTTTAATAATAATACAATTAAGTTACAGGCACCTTTCTGGACACTCAAGGTCAGCATACTTTGCTTAAATACAAGAAACATAAACATTAATAACAAAATAGATAATAAAACAGATTAAAATTCCAACTGCAAATGAAATCGTAGGGAAAATAAATTTTTTAAACGGTAAGTTTTGAGTGTAAATTTGAAGTGTGGCCGAGCAGTCGTGTTTCTGAGTTCTGGAGGGGCGACAGATAGGTGGATAGAGGAGGAAGATTAGAGAGTACTGGAGGGTGTAGCAAGATGGAGAAGATTAGACAGGTAGGGAGGGGCTTTAAATGCTAAGAGGGAGATTTTAACCTGATTTCAAAATTGAATTTGTAGCCAATAAAGCAGTAGTAAAATGATGTTGCATAGGTGAAAATATGCAGACCGTATGATATTATGACATTGGAATAACAATGGAGCTGTCAATGTTTGAGAAACTAGCTACATTTACATGAGCAGATCTTCTGCAATCTGATCGAAGCCGTGGTTGATATGCAATTCAAAATCTTTGTTTACATGGACACTAAATCAATTAGATTCAATCATTTAAGCATGTGTAGAACTGTCTAAATTAAGGAAACTCTTTATGTGTAGAAGATGGAACTGCCTGTTTTTAAGCATACCCGTACTTTTCCACTCATCCTCAACTTTAGCTACTCTTTTTTAGCCCACCCCTCACATTTCTTTTTCATTACTGTGTCTGTAGTTTTTTCCCGATCTGTTATGGGCCTTCGTTGCATCATACTTTTGTATTTGGGTGGCCATTTTAGTTTAGTTAAAGGCTGAGCTGTACCATATGTTGATGCTGCTTTCCTACAAGGGTAGAGGGCATGATGGCAGCATGTTCATCCACACATTACATTTAGAGCCACCTCCTCCATCAAGGATCAGGAGCCATTGGATAAAGGTCAGTAAAGAGAAAAACGTCCTGCTGACATTACAAACATGCACAGTGGAGATGAATTTAGTCCAGAGATTCAAGGGGGGGGTTATCTTTTTGCTGCTGTAAACACCAGAATTTCCCCATTGTGGGGTAATAGAGATTTTCTATTCCATTCTATTCTATTCTATCCCTAATGCAAACTGATAGAGCCAATCCAACTTGGACCTGCCTTTAATACGACCCAATAGACTGGGACTTTTGAATAGTAGTCAAATAAGCACAAATTAACTCATAATAATTTCCATTTAAATGGAAGACAAGGTCAACATTCCTGAAGAGCTCATTAAAATATTTAAACCGGAATTATTATTTTTATTACTGAGCAATGATAAAATAAGGAGCAAATCATCTCCAGAATGGCCAGAAAGTTTTCTCAGTTTTTGTTCAAATAAATAGTTTTACCACCTTCTGGTGCACTTTAAACCTGGTTTCACTTTTTAAAATTATTATTCATGAGCTGCTCTGATTACTGAGCAGTTCTCCTCAGCCGACAGAATAAATGTTTCACATTTATCACTCCAGTTTTGTGACGGCGAGCAAAAAAAAACCCGAAACACAACAGGCGCAGTTTGGAAATCAAGCATTCATTAAATTTACATGAGGGCATTCAGTCTGCAGAAGGCGTGCTCTTACATTTTCAGGAAAATAACTCACACTCGTACTTGTTTCTTTTTTTGTTTACTCTATTTGACATGATCCCTTCACAGCGTGCAAGACTGAGTATTTGGTTGTTTGTTTTTTTTCCAGCGAGCAAAAACGGCTGGAGTAGTTTTCTGCTGATGACCAAGTTGAGTTGTTCCACTTTAGATTGTGTTTCACTTCCAGTTTCAGTAAGAGATGTAACCCGTTCATTTTAATAATTTAATTTTAATTATCATTTAATTACAAAGACAGGCATGTATAGTGTGGGAAGTATTTGCTAATGAAAAACAGAAAGGTTTTGCATAATTTTAATGGTTAACATCCCTGAAGAGCAAATTATAGGTTAACTTGCAAACATGGGAGCTTGCAAACATGGTGGCCATCTTTGTTCATAAAAATGTAGTTTATAAATACACATTCAGGTGTGTTTTCTTATTTTTGTTTTTATAAAGCAAATATATTCTACCATTATGTCAATACTGGATGCTTGTCTTTATGTCACTTCTTAAAGAAGGACAGTTTGACTATTAAACAAGTCATAAATATTAAAATGGGTATTCATTTTTTGACAATGTCATGTGGTTTCATAATTGGCAAACAACAAAAATGTATATAGATTTATTTAGTGTTAAAAAAAAGGCTTTAACATGTGCAATCTTATTTGGACTGTGAACTTTCCACCGCTTATTTCTCAGCAAGTTCTTTGTGGCTTTGGTTGCAGCACCCGGTACTTTTTCAGTTCTCTTATTCACAGATAATTTCACTCCTGTGATAGAAAAATTACCTGGAGCAAAGCATGATGGTGGCAGCATCATTCTATGGGGGAAAATAATTAAATAATAATAATAAAACAATGTTTTGAGTGACTGATGTCTTGTTTTTCTGTATCTTAGCTCACTTGAAGCTCTCTTTTAGCAAAAAAAACTAAAAGGGAGCAGGATTTGAGAGAGAGGTCCTGCTGTAGGCAAGAGGTTTAGGATATGTAGTCAGAGCAGGACACTCAAACATTAGCAATCTTTGGCCATCATCTAGCATCAGAGAGTAACTGCTTTGGGTATGACTGCAATTCAAAGAGTTCTGTAATTTTATAGTCAGGTGTTGCACAAATCATCCCTTTATTTTGCTCCTCCAGCTCTGGTGGAAAGCGTTGCCAGGTTGGTATGTAAACCGCGGGCAGGCAGTTCATTTGGCTCTCCTTTAATGGCGATTCCTCAGCCTCAGTTTTTTGTTTCCAGTTGAGTGACAAAGGGAGGGTAAAGAGAGACCAGATTAAAACACAAAGAATGAACAGTTGCTTATCAAAGTAACATGATTTGATTGTTTTGTTTATTCTTTATCCCTCTCCTGTAGGACAAAGAGGAACAGTGGATGACCAAACTGGTTCCAGGAGCAAACGACTTTGCGATGCTGCAGCCGCTGCAGTGGAACACGAGATATGAGGTGGAAATCACAGCCCGCAATGTGAAGGGCCTATCGGAACCCACCTTCTATCAGTTCTTCATGCCACAGAAGCCTGACATTACAGGTAAAAGCACGATAAAGGCAAACATCCTGCTCCAGTTTACCTCTCTTTCAAGCTGCAGCAGAGGTTTTTTCTGAAAGCATTGGAAGTACTTCTAAGCTTCTTGTGTAAAAAGCTGTGTTTTTTTTTTTTTTATTTCCTGCTAAAACGCGATGGCATCATTGGCACACAAAAGAAATAATATTCCCAACAACCAATAGTACAGCTCTAAATGCAGCAGATCTTTGCGCTGCTTCTCTCTGAACAAATGAGGCGGCTGTCAACAGACAGTTTTCCTTCCTTCTGTTCTGCTTCAGGTTTCTAAATTATTCTCCTTCAGAAAGCCACTTTATAAGTTTATCTTTTTACTTTTAAAGGGAGCTTCAAAATCCAATTTGGGAAAAAATATGACTGAAATGCTCCAATGAGGCAAAGATGTATTTTCTACTGCCACTGAAATAAACCAAGAACTCAAACAGAAGAATCAAACCAAACAGAATGGCTTCACAGATAACAGAGCAGAAATATTTTCACATCCATCCTTAATATCAGTGGTATTTTAGAGCTGTGTGATCAGATGGTTACTAAACATTAAAAAAGGAAAAATGTTTATTACTTATTAATGTTTCTTGGAAATAAACAATACTTTTTTAAAAGCTTTTTTAATTTCCAATCAAATTTTGCTACAAGTTTAATTGAAATGAATTGTGGATATATTGATTGATTGACTTTATTGATCTCACATGGGAGAACTTTAATCAAGAAACTTGTTACATCGGCTCAATAGTCAAAAAGAAGGTGCCAAAAGGAAAAGTTGCATGGGTTTTATACATATATATTGTTACGGCTCCCCCCCCTTTACTGGGGAGAGAAGGAAGTAACTTGACAGCCACAAAAAAATTCAGAGAAAAAGTGGCTATCCTGGACAAGCCCCCACTCCCCAGTAAAGGGGAGGGGGGGCGTAACAATATGCGATATAATGCGAGAGGTCCCGGGTTCAAATCCTGGACAAGCCCCCACTTGTTACGCCCCCCCTTTACTGGGGAGAGAGGGAAGTAACTTGACAGCCACAAAAAAATTCAGAGACCAAGTGAATGTTAGAAAAGAAAGATTTGGGATTTATTGGTTACAAAAAATCCCAAGCAACTCATACAAATGGTGGGGGAGAAAGGGACGATTAGGTGGTGCCAAATCAAAGAAAATAATAAAACAAAAACAGGGCCTACCTACGGTCTAAGCTACATAAAACAAATGAAACCGAAACCCTGCTAAACTAATCTAACAAAAAGATTCACCAAAACTTACAAGGGTGGCATCAACCTACTTACCTAGTGTGTTTAACAGAAAGTCTCCTATGTGATGAAATGTACAGGGTACCCCAACCTTACCTTGTCCACTAACTCCCACCACAGACCATTAAACACACAGAACAAAACATGCAGCAAGCCAGCCAAGGAAGGGGGTAGGATCTCTAAGTGGCTTGCTTATATAGGACCTCCCTAGATCCTAATTGGTCCAAAGGTGGAGAGAATCAATCAAGGGAAGGTAGATCCCAGCTTCTGCTACCTGTGTAGAAGCAAAGGTAAGGGGGGAGGGGAAAGAAAAACAAACAGCCTGGCAGGCATGTAACAAAAAAATAAAAAATAAATATATATATATATATATATATATATATATATATATATATATATATATATATATATATATATATATATATATATATATATATATATATATATATATATATATATATATATATATATATATATATATATATATATATACAGGTGCTGGTCATAAAATTAGAATATCATGAAAAACTAGATTGATTTCAGTAATTCCATTTAAAAAGTGAAACTTGTATATTATATTCATACATTACATACAAACTCATATATTTCAGGTGTTTATTTTGTTTAATTTTGATGATTACAAATGACAACAAATGAAAATCTCAAATTCATCATATCAGAAAATTAGAATATTGTGAAAAGGTTCAAAATTGATGGCCCCTGGTGCCACACTCTAATCAGCTAATTAACTCAAACCACCTGCAAAAGCCTTTAAATGGTCTTTCAGTCTAGTTCTATAGGCTACACAATCATGGGGAAGACTGCTGACTTGACAGTTGTCCAAAAGACGACCATCGACACCTTGCACAAGGAGGGCAAGACACAAAAGGTCATCGCTAAAGAGACTGGCTGTTCACAGAGCTCAGTGTCCAAGCACATTAATAGAGAGGCGAAGGGAAGGAAAAGATGTGGTCGAAAAAAGTGTACAAGCAAGAGAGATAACCGCACCCTGGAGAGGATTGTGAAACAAAACCCATTCAAAAATGTGGGGGAGATTCACAAAGAGTGGACTGCAGCTGGAGTGAGTGCTTCAAGAACCACCACACACAGACGTATGAAAGACATGGGTTTCTGCTGTCGCATTCCTTGTGTCAAGCCACTCTTGAACCACAGACAGCGTCAGAAGCGTCTTGCCTGGGCTAAAGAGAAACAGGACTGGACTGCTGGTGAGTGGTCCAAAGTCATGTTCTCTGATTAAAGTAAATTTTGCATTTCCTTTGGAAATCAAGGTCCCAGAGTCTGGAGGAAAAGAAGAGAGGCACTTCATCCACGTTGCTTGAAGTCCAGTGTAAAGTTTCCACAGTCAGTGATGGTTTGGGGTGCCATGTCATCTGCTGGTGTTGGTCCATTGTGTTTTCTGAGGTCCAGGGTCAACGCAGCCACATACCAGGAAGTTTTAGAGCACTTCATGCTTCCTGCAGCTGACCAACTTTTTGGAGATGCAGATTTCATTTTCCAACAGGACTTGGCACCTGCACACAGTGCCAAAGCTACCAGTACCTGGTTGAAGGACCATGGTATCCCTGTTCTTAATTGGCCAGCAAACTCTCCTGACCTTAACCCCATAGAAAATCTATGGGGTATTGTGAAGAAGAAGATGCAATACACCAGACCCAACAATTCAGAAGAGCTAAAAGCCACTATTAGAGCAACCTGGGCTATCATAACACCTGAGCAGTGCCACAGACTGATCGACTCCATGCCACGCCGCATTGCTGCAGTAATACAGGCCAAAGGAGGCCCAACTAAATACTGAGTGCTGTACATGCTCATACTTTTCATGTTCATACTTTTCAGTTGGCCAACATTTCTATAAATCCTTTGTTTTTATTGGTCTTCAGTAATATTCAAATTTTCTGATATGATGAATTTGAGATTTTCATTTGTTGTCATTTGTAATCATCAAAATTAAACAAAATAAACATCTGAAATATATGAGTTTGTATGTAATGTATGAATATAATATACAAGTTTCACTTTTTAAATGGAATTACTGAAATCAATCTACTTTTTCATGATATTCTAATTTTATGACCAGCACCTGTGTATATATATATTAGTGCTGTCAAAATTATCGCGTTATTAACGCGTTAACGCGAGGCCATTTTAACGGCGATAATTTTTTTAACGTGAGATTAACGCTATGTGGTTTTATGGTACAATTTTTCCAAGTACATCCCGCTGCAGCCTGCGGGAAGGCGGGGCTATTTTCCCCCAGTCTATGCATTTCTCATAGGCTTCTAGAGCGGAGCTCCTCAAGGGAAAAAGACGCTCATACACTGGGTGACGCTAGTGCCTTTTCTTTAAGCCCCACCACCAACAAACAAGTTGAGTGTCTGGTAACTAGTAGCAACCTGAAATACGCTGAGAAAACTGAATCTCGTAGCAGCCCTCTTGCCGTCTGTGTACGCAACAGGTCAGTATCGCATGTGTGTGTGTGTGGGTGGGTGTGTCTGTGTGTGGGTGTGTGGGTGTGTGTGTGTTCTCATTTTTGTTAAGAGGCTGAAAAGTAACTTTCTAGAGCATAGACTACCTTCATCTAGTAATGTCGGTCTATTGATTTTGATGTATTGATTGAAAATTGTTCATTATTACCTTGGTTAATTAACATCTAATGTTAACTCTACTGCATTTTATAGCGGTAGGGTAAAATGCTTGTCTTTGTTCAAAAGACTGTATTAACTGTAAAGACTGTCTTTTACATCAGCCTGTTTTCAGGGCCTTTTTTTTGCCTACATATTTGTTATTTTTTGCTACATGCCTCCCCATCTTCTTGCCATATGTTTCTATGGCATAAATCAGTATCTGTGACCTGTTTTCATTTAAAAAAAAGAACATTGGCACAAACCTAGCCTGTATGTATTTTTTTGTATGTCATCGAGAGTATTTAAATGATTTTCAATCAGGAAAAAAATGTGCGATTAAAATGCGATTAATCGCGAGTTAACTCAGGCATTGATGCGATTAATCGCGATTAAAAAATTTAATCGATTGACAGCACTAATATATATATATATATATATATATATATATATATATATATATATATATATATATATATATATATATATATATATTGAATGATTGCATTCACAGGATTTTGTAACATCTCTATCATGATTTAATAAGCTGACTGATTAGTTTTTACATAAATAATACCTATATAGAGCCAGGTTGGTTGTAGAGCTTTTTTACTTGATTAATGAATCATTTGATAAGTGCTTTTTGTATTTACTCAACTCGTTTAATGCAGAAAAACAAACCAAAAGCATTGTGTTTTAGTTTCGCTTTGTTTTTCTTTGCCTCTGTGCCTTTTACCACATCCATTTTTGGCGATTTGGATCCAGCATCTGTTTGCTTCTGTCATTACTGCTGCGGCTAAATGGCCTACGAGAGTGTGGGGTGGCTTTTCTGCTAGAAAACAAGAGCCGGGGAAATGGCAAGCTTACGGTGGGTCACTTCGATTGGCTGTCCTCTCTTGTTAGCGAACAGCAGGGAATCAAAAGAGAGAGCCTGGGAAAGTGCAGAGGAAATAGAAAAAGAGGGGAAATGCTCTTTCTGTAGGAGTTAGATTTCCAACATAGAGTGTGCTCAATGGAAAAGGTGTAGGATTTGCACCCACACATTTCGGATTAAATCAGGAAAAACTTCACTGACCCAGTTCAGCTAGTG